TATATATATGTATGTATTCATACCAACATGTACAGTACCTGAATGATGCATACTCGAGTGCATATGTGGCGGAAAGTAGATGAATCATCAATCAATAACGAAATGCTGTACAGACACACGTTTCCGCGTAATGACATACCTTCAGGTATGAATGTAGAATTTCACCTGACCACTACGAGCGCGGGTGTCTCGGTCGCTTAGGTGTAGTTCATATAGCAGGTGTTGTGTGCGGGGAGCTTTCATACATAACCTGTGCTACTTGCAATGGTTTGAACCTCTGGGACTCTCAGGTGTAAATCTGTGTTTCTGTGTGACACCAATCGTATCCTTTGGCATATTCTACCAGCACCTCCGTTCGTTGTTGTATGCCCATACGTGAAAGATCTTCATCTAAAGTGTAAAGTTTTGGAATGAGTTCTGCACCCCCCCCCTCCCCCTCTCTCACGCGACTCTAAAAGTGGTTTAGCTTCTGAAGAGCGAGCATGGAGTGAGTTAATGGATATCTAGACAGCCACAGTGTGTAGCGTAGCTTCTGCCGGCCATATGCACTTCAAACCGTTAAACGTTAAGGCGCCTCTACCGAACGGGCGTACGTGATCTGACACGCTGACATGCTTGACACCACCACTCCTGCAGAGCTAAACAAGTACCTCGCTGTGTTCATCACGGACTATGAGGCCTGGATGGAGTTGGTGGATCTCTACCTGGAAGAGGGCAAGTAGGTGGCACGCGAGCGTTGTTGTTACTATGGAAACGGGATTGTAGCTTCATATTTCTTTGTATACGTGATGCGATTGTGGCGGGTGTATCTATGGTGCGGAGTGCAAGTATACTTTGCCGGGGCTTACTTTGCAAATGAGAGAACGTTTTTCCATTGTCTGTGGGTGTCATGCATGCCATCGAAGTCGTTGTGAGCTGGTCGTGCGCAAACATAGTCAGTAGGTGTTTGTCCATACGTTGCTTGATACTGCATTACCTTTGCATTGTTATTGCTGTTATATATCTGACATGTGTTATTCCGTTCATGTCTTTATAGCATAGTCAGTAGCCGTTTGTCTATACGTTGCTTGATACTGCATTGCCTTTGCATTGTTATAGCTGTTGTATATCTGTGTGTTATTCCGTTCATGTCTTTATAGCATAGTCAGTAGGTGTTTGTCGATAAGTAGCTTAACACTGCATTGCCTTTGCATTGTTATTGCTGTTGTATATCTGACAAGTGTTATTCCGTTCATGTCTTTATAGTATAGTCAGTAGGTGTTTGTCTATACGTTGCTTGATACTGCATTGCCTTTGCATTGTTATTGCTGTTGTATATCTGATATGTGTTATTCCGTTCATGTCTTTATAGCATAGTCAGTAGGTGTTTGTCTATATGTTGCTTGATACTGCATTGCCTTTGCATTGTTATTGCTGTTGTATATCTGACATGTGTTGTTCCGTTCATGTCTTTATAGCATACAGTAGGTGTTTGACTATACGTTGCTTGATACTGTATTGCCGTCGTGTATAACAACACTAATAACAACTGAACGTGTATAACAACAGTAGTATCAACTGAACGTGTATAACAACAGTAGTAACAACTGAACGTGTATAACAACAGTAATAACAACTGAACGTGTGTAACAACAGTAGTAACAACTGAACATGTGTAACAACAGTAGTAACAACTAAACATGTGTAACAACAGTAGTAACAACTAAACATGCATAACAACAGTAATAACAACTAAGCATGTATAACAACAGTAATAGCAACCAAACATGAATAAGAGAGAAGGAGGCCTCTATGATAAGGCCGTCTGTGTTGCTGTATTGTTGGATGCATGCACCGTTTCACATGCGATCGTTCTTGCATTCATTCAGTCAGTCATACGATAACCCGTGCCACTAACCACCGGTAGCCACTCAAAGTGCGCGCAATCCTACGGCACAATTGACACACTGAAATGGTCTTCACCGTCACATCCCTTGCATCGTATCGTCTTCCTATATGCTACTCTCACTCGCTGCAACAACGCCCCAGAAGATGGGTCTCCTATCCGCAACACACTCAAACCATTCCACCACAACCTAAAACCCTAAACCGTAAAACTTTAAACCCCCAAAACCCGTGTTTGTCTTGTTGTGCAGGTTGGAATTAGCGAGCTTCTGCTTGGAGGATGTCATTCTGTCACACCCCCACGATGACAAGTTCTTCACCTTGCATGGAGAGGTATTAGAGCGTGCCGTTGTACGGTGTATATAGTTACAGTTACATTCATTGTATGGTGTATATAATTACGGTTACATTCATTGTATGGTGTATATATTTACAGTTAATCCATTGTATGGTGTGCTTAGTTACAGTATCATTCCCCATATAGTACATTGCGTTTCCGAACGGGTCGTCATGATAACAGCGAGTTCCACGTAATAAGTCCTAAAAGTAGGGTTTGGTATGGTATTATATTGGGTCTAGAAGTAGGGTTTGGCACGGTAGTATAATAATCCTAGAAGCAGGATTTGGTATGGTAGTATGTCAGCCCTAGGAGTAGGGTTTGGTATGGTAGTATGTTTGTCCTAGAGGTAGGATTTGGTATGGTAGTATGTCAGTCCTAGTAGTAGGGTTTGGTATGGTGTATATTAGTCCTAGAAGTAGGGTTTGATATGGTAGCGTGCTAGTGTGTCCTAGAAGTAGGGTTTGGAATGGTAGTATGTCAGTCCTAGTAGTAGGGTTTGGTATGGTGTATATTAGTCCTAGAAGTAGGGTTTGGTATGGTAGTATGTTAGTCCTAGTAGTAGGATTTGGGATGGTGGATACGAGTCCTAGAAGTAGGGTTTGGTATGGTGTATATTAGTCCTAGAAGTAGGGTTTGGTATGGTAGTATGTTAGTCCTAGTAATAGGATTTGGGATGGTGTATACGAGTCCTAGAAGTAGGGTTTGACATGGTAGTATGTTAGTCCTAGAAGTAGGGTTTGGTATGGCAGTGTGCTAGTGTGTCCTAGAAGTAGGGTTTGGTATGGTAGTATGTCAGTCCTAGTAGTAGGGTTTGGTATGGTGTATATTAGTCCTAGAAGTAGGGTTTGGTATGGTGTATACGAGTCCTAGAAGTAGGGTTTGACATGGTAGTATGTTAGTCCTAGAAGTAGGGTTTGGTATGGTAGTAAATTAGTCCGAGATAGGGTATGGTACGGTAGTATATCATTCTTTTGTAACTTGGTACTTGACTGTATACTTTGGTAGGAAGTGCGTCTTCATTAAGAGCCCCCTACAGTGTTCTACTACTTGTGTGTCGCCATGCTTGGACGTGTATTGTTTGTAGGCATTCAGCCAAGAATCTATGCGATCAAGGACGTTAGTTAAACCAGTGTGGTTGATGATATATGTGCATGTGGCAAGATAGAATGCAGATGGATCTGCTGACAGTTTAGTATGGCTAGAGTTGGCAAGGGATGTCCTGTGACTGCAAGGTATCGCTGACAACGAAGAATTGCAAAGTACACCATCTTCGACACACCTAAACCTGTGGGTCTTTACAGGAACATACATTCATGTCTTGAATTTCTGTGCACAACCCATGTAACGCTCTCATCAGTGATAGCAGAGGAGTTAACAAATCTACGCAACCACTTCACCTGCGCAGATCATGTATGCTCATCAGAAGTACAAGACGGCGCGACAGCTCTTTTCCAAGGCGTGCGAAAGTAACCCGGACAATACCCGAGCCCATTACGGTCTATTCCTGGTGAGTTACTACGCTTTGTGTATAGATATAACGATCCGTAGCCAGTCGTACTGCTGTCAATGGGCGCCGGATGTATTAGAAGTGGCACATGTGGGACGCCGTTTGTCTTTATTTCACAGTAGCCGGTTACGCTTGTTTGTGGTGTGACGTTTTTGTTCTTCCACGTCACAGCCAAGATGGCGTATGTAATGTCGGTGGAGCTTTTTTATCAAGTGTCTGTTGTTGTTGTAGCCGCTTGGAGTACTACACCATTATAACGGTACTTCCAGTATTTCATACACGTTTACATACTTGCATCGTGGCTAATATTTTGACTAGTTTTTAATATATAAAACTGGGAGGCACTATACCAGCTAGGTATAGTAACAATATAGCGCACCCACAAGTATTTGCCTATTGTTATCCACGTTGGTGGAGAAAGAAGTCTGTCCGCTAGCTCACATGTGTTTTGTGCACACCGTGTCTGCGGCTAATCTTCACGAGTAATTGCATAATGTCATTGTACTCAGCTCACATTCCTGCAGCAATTTTGCACTTAGCATATTAGCGAACACAATCGCTGTGATTTTAGTGTTAGGATTTTAGCGTTATTTAACGTAGGATTTTAACAATATTTTAGCGTTAGGATTTTAACTTTATTTTAGCTTGAATGTTTTAGCGTTTAGGGGTTTTATCTGCAATCACCATCATAGCCTCCTACAATAATCACATGGAGGCTATGTCTCAATCGCTGAGTTGTTCTTGAAAATATTTCTCATAGAGTGCTGCTCGTCATGCGAATGAAGACAAAGGTAGCGATAACTACGAGGTTGGGATCTTCGCCCGCGACAAGCTAGTACAACTCTATGGCGAAAAGAATGCTATGCTGTTACCGTACGTTAATGAGATGCTAAATGACTGGATTACAGAGTAAAACAAACGTTATTGATAATATTATACAATATTTTGACGTGCAGAACCGTAGTCATGGCCTCGTGCTAGGCATTGGTTGAATTAGATATACAATACAATTGTCATGTTTTCTGCATCTTCCGGAGGCGAGCACCACACCGTGACGAACATAGACGCAATGTACAGCTCGTCACCTGCGCTAACCAGCTAATGCTTAGTCACACCAGCTAATGCTTAGTCACTTAGGCAGGGTGTTGCTTCACTTAGGTAGGGTGTTGCTTGATAGTGAACAGATGATACCCGGATACCGATGAAAATTATCGTAGAAGGTAATTCTCCGTCACACGCAGAGTATCGGAAGCAATTAAGTATCTCGCCACGGATGATGCCTACAATACAATTGAGCAAATGACAAATCTGTTTCTTTTCTGGAGGTCGTCGGGAGTCGATGCTCTCCTGACGAATACACGTACGAATAGCATACGCTGTTGTCCTAATAGCGGATAAACGAAGGAATTATGGCAGTAAATGACCTAGTTCGTTTTAAAATGTATATCTGGAATGTTGAATGATACTGCATGGGGGACAAAAATTGAACTGCTTATCAAAGAAAACGCACGATGATAAAATCATTGTGATGATATTCACACTTAAATGTTCTCAGTTTTGGGAAACATGCTGGAACTTGAGGTCACCGGAACCAACCTTTGGAAAGTTTTGAGTTCATAATGTTCCGTAGATTCACGGACTTTTAACCCGATTTATAGGATACCCCAATTTATAGGATGCATACTTGTATGTTGAGAATAGTGGAAACTGCTGTACAACGTAGGGATGAAAGTTGTACGGGTAACATCCAGCAATGTTCATACGTATTCCATCGAAATATACACCGCACAAAGGTTTGAGCGGGAATACGTTCAGAAGAAATGATGAATCGAATCCGCGAAGCGACAACAACAGGACACAGGACCACAGGTATTATTTACACTTTTGTAGAAGCCGAAGGCTAATTTCTAATTTTATTTCCAGTTTGTTTTTCTCTCTTGTTTCTTGAAAAAAGAACATGATTTGCAGATCGGACTTCAAACTGTGAGAATTACGTACCCATGGCTCACGAATAACAGATACATACATCATGAATTCATGAAAAATTAACAATTTTGTACCACAACGACTTTTGTACCACAACGACGGAGTCACGGACTAAAGTCCCATACATGAATACTACAAAAGGTTTGTTTTATAAACTGTGAAACAAAAATGAGGAATATGTTCTGACTTCTGCGACCTGTGCACAGCAGCTAATATGTTCTTATGTCTGGAGATAGTTAGGGTAAAAAGCGATAACGTAATTTATATCATATGTAACAAGTTGTAAACCTTGCCAACTTCGTCTCTAATCAGTATTAACCGCCTTGCCTGCACTGACATCCGGCATTGTCATATCTCTGTAACTCCATGATCCATTCACCACATATAGCTGTTAACATCCGTCGTTCTCATTGTTATTACTAACAGTAAAATCATACTCACGGTTACAACTTCCATCATTACCTTCACATCAAATTAAAGGCACAAGCAAATGTCGTTCATACCTATATCCCTTATTACTGTTAGGTCTTTTTTATGTTCCGAGTCTGCTACTACGAGTACTCTGGTGAACGTATCCAATACTATTATACCAGGTTGTGTCTAACATAAACTTATGCCTATCAGAACACAATGAGCGTGTTTGCTTTAGTGTATACACAGTTTTAAAATAGTAACAATACTACCCATTCGTAGTACAATTTGCCAAGGACCCTGTGGCCAGTGTCGGCAATTGTATATTTGGGGGGTTTTTCTCAAAAAAATAACCCTAAAAGTTGTGTACACGTACTATATATAGAAATCAATCACTACGATAGTTCCTTTTCACAGAGCTCTAATTAGTTTTCACGCACAATCGCACAACATAGGTGTATGAAATCTCAAATCTACGAATGTACATCATACATGACCCAGACTGACCCTACATATTACATTGAGAAGAAATAAATAGAATAATATGCCTGACAGTGATCGGCCTATTGCGAGCTATTGTCCCAAGATGGCCGTGGAAAGTATGTGTTTAAAAAAAAAATTGAATGTCTTTATACGGCACTGGTGACAATAAAATTATTAACCACCTCAGGCCCAGTTTCCTACCAGTCTCATACTCATACTTTTTCGAGTTTGCTTTGCTTTTGAGATGTAATTAGCGTGATTTTAGCCCATTTATTGCACTTGTTGTATTAGTTCTTTGTCGGGTTCTTTGTCGGCCTCAGAGGAGAGTTCGACGTATGTTAGACACGAATAGTGTCAACTGTAAAACCTTGGGCGAATCCGAAGCAATAGCTAAGACAGAGGACGCCTATATACATGTGTGTCTAACTGCTAACATATGTGAAGCCCTTAAGACCGACAAGGACCTAACATAAGTGCAACAAGTGGGTTGTATCCGCGCTACAATATTTAACATTTAAGTCGAGCGCTTTCAGCCGACAGATAACAAACAAACCGGCAGAAAACAAACACATCTCACAAGTGCTTAAAATCACACTAATTACATTAATACACCTATATTTAAGCAAATTTAACTCGAAAAAATATGAAGTATGAGACTGGTAGGAAACTGGGCCTGAGGTAGTTGTTATTTTTATTGTCACCAGTTTTAAAAGAAAAGCAACTACATACATAATAAATCTTGTGTATGTACCAATAGCGAATTCCATTGGCAGTTTCGCACAATATGGGGAATTGAGGATTCCAACCATTCACTAGAGCAAATCTACGACTCTATTTTGTATAATTTACGTCCAACCTAAGGCCTAAGCTCATATGTATGTAATGAGTAATGTCATTACTTTATAAGAAGTTGAACGTAACGAATATTTATTCAATTTTAAAACGTTATAACGGTTATAATGTGATCAGAAGGGCTGGTGAAAATAGTACACACTTGAATGTTTAGACGCGCAAGTTGCACCTATGAGCAATTGAGCATACAAACTGTATATGGAATAAAAGTTGAACGTAAACGTATATTTATTCGATTTATGGTTTAACGGAAAACGGTTTGAGGCCACTGGCCAGCGTCCAACTGCGTATCTGCGATAGAAGACTGATGATTTATTACTGATTAGAAGTCAACGAAGGAGTTCGAAAATCAAAACAACCCCACACAGCAAAAAAAAACAACAAAAACAATATTGTCATTCATACATACTCACAAAATAAAGTAAAAGGACAAAGGTGCAGAGTCTGCAGACTGCAGCGGGCATTTGTTTTTAAAAAAGATTCTGTGGCTCATGGTTCTGATATATTTGACTAATAAAATGCATCCTGATTGCTCGGCTGGCTCACAGCCTCATCTGTCGGGCGTCGGCGGAACCTTTTGTCTGAGAGCCAGAAAGTAATTTTTAGATTGGGTAGCTGGTATGTAGAATGTAGACTCGCAGCACAATCCGCAACAGATTCACAATGACACACCCTAATCCCTTCCACCTTATGCAATCTCTAAGATTCAAAGGTCGGAGTTCTGACTGTCTGAGACTCTTCACATACCCACAATCAGAGTTGTTTTGATTGCGTTCATGTATGTTTTGTACTCATATGAAATCTACAATCAGTTTTGTGTTTGTACATACATTGCCTTCTAAAGTTCTGTGTGACATAAATGTTCTGGGGTTTACCTAGTCAGATCAGCATTTCTGCACGCTGAGTGTTTGGGGAAGCTACAGCCGTACCTATTTAATGATACTCACACATGTACATGTATTGCTTCTCACACGTAAAACAGTTCGTTCTGATGACGCGTTACATTCCCTCATAGGAAATCACAGTATATCACAAAATAGAATCTTGCTACCATATATTATCGGATGTGTAGCTCTTGCAGCCGCCTTATTCGTATACTCTCTACAGTTGAACGATTCGAAGGTTTGAGAGGCCAAGGAACGGAATGGACCTGAAACTGAACGGGGTTGTCCTGGTGACTACAGGTGGAAACAGGACTCAGAGGATAACAGGTGCATCATAAATGGAGTCATGATTGTGCGTAATGCACAGCTCAAGGACGTGAGAGAGTCAATCGAAAAGGTTTTAGCCGATCCATGGTATCGAAGACTGCTCTCTAAATTGGTGATATTCAAAATTTTGCCTTTTTGGGTAAAGGACAAGTCCTTCAAGATTCAGACTCACTGTTACAAGGCTGAACTGTGTGACGAGCGTCGATGTGGATTAGTCGTGCTATTGTTGAAGATTTACCAATTGATCGGCCTCTGTGGAAAATAGTCGTGCATGAAGACTATATGAAGTGCGATGACGGGTCAGGCGATTTCCTATCGTGCGTGCTCCTACGTGCACACCACGTGATTGCTGACGGAGTTGGGGTTGTTTCCATGCTTGACACTCTTATGGTCAGTGAATCTGAGGTGGAAACCGAAATTTCTGCTCACGAGGGTATGCGTAAAGCGAGTGTAGTCAACAAACAGGAGCCAGAGAATGTACTTATGACGTATCTTCGTATTGCGATGTTTACCTTACCCGTCATGGGTAAAATACTCAAGTCTGCTATCGATGTGAATCCGTTCAAAACTCGCCACGTTGAAGGCAGGAAAGTCGTTGGCATGCTAAACGATACGATTGATTTGGAACGTGTGAAGGTCGTACGCACGGCCATGGGTGATGCGGCGAATGAGAAATACACAGTTAATGATTTGCTTATGGGTGTTCTTGGATGCGCATTGAACCGTACCTAGTCCCACATTCAGCCAGGGCATGATGTGAAAGTAGTAAAGGTTGCAATGCCTGTTAACATGCGCACAGGCTCCGGTTGTCCCAACATGGAGAACACATTTGCGCCACCTATCTTCAACATCCCTACGTGCTCGTCAGACCCATTGGTATCGTGCCGAAACATGAAGGCCGCAATGGATGATTTGAAAAGCAAGCCAGTGCCCCATGTATTCTACTTTTCTATTCGGTTCATGGCATTTTACACTCCTGCGTTCCTCAGCAAATACCTGCTGGACGATCTTGCGAGCAAAACATCAGCGGTAGTCTCGAATGTCCCGGGACCATTGGAGAACAAGTACTTTGTCGATAAGAAGCTAGAGAGAAAGAGAATCGCTATGTGGTCTCCTCAACGTGGCACAGTATCGTTTGGAGTGACCATGTTTACTATTGGGAATCGCGTGAACGTAGCATCCGTGATGGATACTGGCGCCGATGACAAACCGCAAATGCTATGCAACTAATATGCGAAGGTATTCAGCGATTTAGAACGCATGGTACTAGGCAAGGATGGCGTGCAGGATATGAGGGATAAATTGTCCGTAAACGACAACTGCGCTGTGGGTGGAAAATAAAAAAATTCCGCCTAACCATCTTTTTCTTTAATAAAAACGTTTCGAGTACTAGTCAAGTCCAGATTCGTTCTTGAAGCATTGATCCTCATAGATATCGAATATGGAGTCTTGGTGATGTGTGTTAGGTCCGTACTATCTCGAATCACCTGCACAGTCAACAATTGACTGGCACAATGATGCTTATAAATGTTCAAAGATTCTACAAAATCAATACTGATCCAGAATAGCCTTGCATGGGTTCAATAGAAGCGCATCGATATCTGGTAACAATTGTAGAGAATCAGATTTGTAGTTTAGTCTCGAGGATTCACTGCGTGGTGATATGATTTGGTACTACATGGCGAGACAAACGAGTGAGAAAGTATCAAGGCAACCTCGGAGCCAGTCCAGTAGAGCAAGATTGCTAAATGGCTTTTGGGACACAAAACGAATTCAACAGCTGAAATGAGTAGCGAGGTGTTATGCCCATTTCGATGTGAGGTTTATATGGCTGGTCTGGTACAGACAGTGCTCGACGGAGGAGCATTGTGCTTTACTACTGTATATATCACTGGTGCTGAGGTATATCGGCCAGCAAGCTTGAGAATTTCTACACAAGTCCGGTGTATTTAGCGACTATTGTAGTACGATGCAACCCTCTGGTATCACAGTTTGGCCGTTTGTACTACATCAAAAGCTTGTCCCTATCCTTGGAGAAATAAGACAGCGACAGCAACAGACCTAATCTATCTTGCCATTCTGCAAGCCATGCCAAGTACGATGTCTAAGGCTGACATCGATGTCTAAGGCACATCTGAACTTCGGGTGTGCAACCACAGAACTTGAGCCATTGGTGCTATTATCCACGACGCGGTGGGCACTCAGGTATCGTCATTTGTCAGTAACTGCCGAGCAGGAAAAACCCAGAATGAAGATTAACATTAAGATAAAGTAATATACTGAACACACTCAGAACATACGAGTGCATAGAAGGTTGATATCAAACAATGGGCCGAAGGCACTACGACATGTTGAACCTCAAGGAAAGATCTCATAAGCACCTGCCTAAGCCACTTCATCTATAAATCGGATACAACTTCAAATATTCACCATCGAGAACACTTACATCCAACAGATTGCGGGGTTTCGGAGGTGCGATGTGTATATCGTCCTCACTGAAGTACCCGTCCTCTGCTTCGTTCATCGCGTCTACTGTGGGCACGCGCCCTTGCTTGGCCATACCACTCCGTCGCATTCTATTTATAGATCGGGTCCCGAACTGCAAGGCACTCTGTGTCGCCAACTTTGGGTTTGATCGCGATTTTTGGGGGTGCGTACTTTTCCCTCTATGTGATGCGCTTAGTGCCGAATCCTCTACCGTTCGACTGCTCTTTCTCTGCTTCACAGTATGATAGTCTTGTACTGGAGTATGTCTCTTGTGTTGCAGACCCGCACTACCCTGCCAGTTGCCATTGAATGGGCTGTGCTCGCTGACATCAGCGTCTCTCCTACCGTGTGTTCCCGAGCCGTGGCTACTAGTTGTATCTCGATGGAATGGATCCGACAGGAAACTATCTACCAGACTATCTCCACGGAGAATGCTATCCTGCTTAGTATCTATACGCGAATAGAAACGATTGTGGGGTTGTATATGCGTATGTGTATGTTTGTATGTGTGCGCGCCGGTGTGTGATGGCGACCGAAACTGTGTATCGCAAGTGTATGTCTTGATGATAGATTGCTGTGATCCTAATTGTGCACGAGTCACATCGCGTACACCCTCTCCATGTTGTAAACTCGACTGGGGTCCATGCAGAGGAGGCATCGACCTGGCCAGCGTTCGCTGCGAGTGCTCTGTAGCATAGCTCTGCTGACACTGCACAGGGCTGGATAGGCGCCTACCTCCCTTGTGCGGATTCATATCTACTGTCACAGGAGCAGCTCGACACGTCTTGAGTTGTCGGAGGCTTCCCAAATCTCCAACCGCCCTTATCCTAGAGTGTTCAGTCAGGTGGTCATGAGGGGGCAGACCAGTACGTGCATGCTCAAGTACACCCTTCCGTGCGCGAGTGTGCGCTACACTACACCCTCCACGCTCTCTAGCGGTTTCCAGTTGCTTTGCATACCCGTGTATGCCGTCTGTCGTGGTGGTTGTGGTTCTAGTGGCCGTGGTGGTTGTTCTAGTTATAGACGAATGGTCTGAAGACCTTCTGACAATGATCTTCGCATGTCCCTGCTGCAATCCTTTATGCACAACCGGGTGGTCGACATCATAGCTGTGTGATTTGTCAGCTGAAGGTGCTCGTTGCTTCCCACCCACACTCTCCAGGCGTATATCAGCACCTCTACTAACGCGTTGCTGTTGTCGGGCCTGTCGATAGGGGGTATCCTGTTGTATCTGTGAGTGCCTGTGCACAATTTGCTGTTGCTGTCGATGCCGCTGTTGCTGCAGCTGCCGTTCATGCTGCTGAAGTTCTTCTCTCAGCTGCCCATGCTCGCCGCGTCCGTCTACACCAATGCTAGACACACTTACATTCCTATCTGTCTGTGCACACACCACTCCACCCGGTTCAGCACACGCACCGTCACCTTGCCCACAACCATCAGAACTCCGAGCACAGACAAACAACGGCACTCGCGACCGACTACGTACACGCGAGTCACGAACGTCACTAACAGCCTCTCTCCGGTTGCGAACGTACGTGCTTGGGGTCAGTGGCGAGTAGCACGGACTAGACGATGCCACCGCTAGCGTGGGTGTGCGCAGAGGCCGATAGCTTGGTGATTTGTAAACGGCACCATGTGCTCGACTGCGTTCAGGAATAAATATGTACAAGGTGTTAATGGAGATGGATCTCCGATTGTATGTAAGTATAGCCACTTGCACTGCTGTCGCTGGATCGACAGAAGCTTGGTTATCTCAATAGACTCGTTGACATCTTCCTACATACATATAAATATATATATATATATATATATAATATACATATATACAAAATGTATCTAGGTTCATGTTGGATATACACAGCGCCGAATTGGACCTCTTAAGCACGTCTGTTGGTGGTGCACAAACACAAGACATAATCATCCCCACGAGCGCGCTCCTGAGTGTGCTGTATAATTTGTGTTTGTGCAGAGGCAGCCAGCAACTGGCGAATTATGAGAATGCAAAAACGCCACAAAACAATTCAGAGATAGCGATACACGTGACACACGGAAATATACAAAGTAAAGCAACATCCACACCGTATATGGCCCCTACCCACTAAGTAATAACATTTATATATATATACATACAAATATACATACATACATATATATATATATATATATATATACATAGCGATACACGGGACACACAGGAATATACAAAGTAAAGGAACATCCACCGTATATGGCCCCTAGAGATAACATCTTTGATAATAAGCACGCAAAGAATGAGGCCTCAACACTATACTTTTTGTTGAATGAGCGTCAGGATTTAAGTTCTGAGTTGTCATAGCAGTTACAATGCTGGGCACAGTGCGGGGGAAGAAACGACACCTTACAGAGGAACACAACACACACTCTTTAATTAGAAGGCTTGCCATATTTCCACAAACGGGACTCATATAAGACGTTTCACACTGGCATGAGCAGATTTTACAGTTGGTGAGATGAACTATTATTTTTCCGGAGGTTCTAAGTTACTATGAAAACTACTTTGCGTGACCCGGACATACTTGCTGTGGCTTTGAGGAGCCGATGCGCGGGTTGTTTCATTCAGGGATGTGACTGATCTTGCAACCTGCAACATTACAAGACAACAGAAAAATACATTAACACAGAAATAAACACTTAAAAGCACTTCTTCCGGGCGATTTGTTGTTAGAGGGTTTACAGGACCATTCGCAATACACATCTTTTCCCATCCTGTTCACTAACCGATCTTGTACCATCCTGCTCACTAACGTATGTTATACCACTCTACTCGCTAACTAATATTATATCAGCCTTCTCACTATCTGACCTTGTATCATCCTACTCACCAACTTATGGTATATCATCCTACCTACTAACCCATCTTATATCATTATACACACTGACTGATCTTATATCAGCCTGCTCACCAACCTATGATATATCATCCTACATACTAACATCGAACCCGGGGATACAGTTTTCGGGGTTTGAATTTGGTCATACACAATTGGTATCGAACCCGAGGATACGGTCATCGGGGTTGAATTTGATCATACACAATTGATATAGAACCAGAGAGTACAGTCAGCGCGTTTCCAAAATAGAAGCATTCCAATCAATAATACTCTCACGCCACAATGATCTCTTGCAGCGACGCTCTTTGGACTGTCTATCCGAGCCACAGCGTATCGTTATATGCTAGTACATGCTTGCCAAATTGCTACGATGCCTATACAAGGCATATAGCCTGTGTACTACATGTCAGTACATATGTCCCCAGAACACCTGGTAGTGCTCCAGCACACTCTACTACACCCTACATACCAGCCAGAGTGCCGATTGATACGCATTGCGAACAATCTTTACGATTGCGAGATAGAGGGCGAGCATGTTGCCCCAAGGACTACTCGTATCAGTGCCCTGTCCAGCAAGAATGTGTGCATATGTCAAACGAAAGAGAGTCTTGTCAGGGTTGTCGAGGCCGTCCACAAATAATATATAGTATAGTGACCATTGGATGGGGGAATGATGGTCGCAGAGGCAGTTGCAACGGGACCTGAGGTTTGACTAATTGCACATACATTGCAAGCAACATCAGGATAACCGACAATCGGAACAGCAATAGATATGCAACACCAAACAAGATGCCGAACCAGTAGCAACCACTGCGAACATATAGAGATTTGGACACACTCACACACTGTCATTCGAACATCACACCTTGACAGTCCGGGAAGTCTTTGTGCGCCTCTGTATTTCCGTGGCGATCTCTGGGTGCGAGAGCAGATCTCTCGATGTGGGCCTGAGATCCGGGTTCGGATGCATCATGCGTGTAATTACAGACGTCAGAGACGCAGAGATGTGCGGTACATGCGGGATACACCCATTCCGCAGGGCTCGCCATACTGGGCCGTTGGTGGGCAGCTCTACATTGTCCACAATCTCCAGTGTTAGGATACCCAGGCTAAAGATATCGACCTGTATGCAGCAGATGAGACCGTGGCAGTGTAAGCAGCAATGGTGGTTGATACAGGTATGCTTTGTACAGATTGGTGTATACTGCTATGACTGGCGTTGTACGTTCGGTTCTGCAGTACAAATGATTCCGACATGTGTACGAGGCCAATGGTCATCATTTGCAAGCGTGCTACTTGCAGCTGGGAACTGTGGGAATTAGTTTGAACAACGCAAGAAACATCTTTAAAACACCTGCAAGTGAAGTTGGCAATCGCAAGTCTGTGTAAGACTGCGAGGGTGATCTATCAATAGAGTCCTAGATAATCTAGGAGAAATCAATCCCCTGCACAGCCAGACTTGTATTTGTGTATACCCGTTGTATTAAAGCTGCACTCAGATACCGGAACCGGGGGTTGAACCCTTTAGATAGTTAGCGATGGATACGAATTGAAACAGATTTGCAGTAAACATGACCTGTACAGATTACAGTAGAGAAGTAACACACTCTCGTACAGGTATTTCAGTACAGCTGCCCATTCTCGCAAGTGTGTATCCATTTTGAAAATTGAATAGAAATGTAGAACTAAAACATGCCACTTATGCGTACATACACATAAATTTTTACTTGCCCCTAGCTGGATGCTTAGACTGGCACACTGAACACTAGAACCCCACACAACACGATCTTCCTGACGCAGCCGAAACTCATACCACAGCATAAACTGAACACTAGAACCCCACACAACACGCTCTTCCTTACACAGCCGAAACTCATACCACAGCATAAGCTGAACACTAGAACCCCACACAACATGCCCTTCATGACACAGCATAAACTGAACACTAGAACCCCACACAACACGCCATTCATGACACAGCAAAAACTCATACCACAGCATAAGCTGAACACTAGAACCCCACACAACACGCCCTTCATGACACAGCCGAAACTCATACCACAGCATAAGCTGAACACTAGAACCCCACACAACACGCCTTCATGACACAGCCGAAACTCATACCACAGCATAAGCTGAACACTAGAACCCCACACAACAGGCCCTTCATGACACAGCCGAAACTCATACCACAGCATAAGCTGAACACTAGAACCCCACACAACACGCTCTTCCTGACACAGCCGAAACTCATACCGCAGCATTGACGACTTGCCCACTGTTGAGCAACTCCGGCGCACAGTATCTGGGATCACCTTCTCGCACATCCAATTGGGCCACCTGTTGTCACGGAGACGCGAGCATAAGTACTACATACCCAACTGTAATTGCAGTTGGACGTGACTGAAGTTCATGCGTGAAGTAGACTGCGCTGAATGTTATGTGGCTGCCCAACGCAGTCGGCGGATAGGGGACAGCACAAGGGATGCGCATTTCTCAGTTGAACAACTGAGTTACGAGCCATTACAATCAACACAGCATGTGTTCACTCAAGCACAGCAACCGCACGCAGCCAGCCCACCTGAAGAGCATGAGATAAATCTGCTATTGATAGTTGATAACGCAGATGATTGTGGGCAACACGTACGCGTTCACATATTACAAGACATTGAACGTGTCAGTATATATAGCAATGAATACTCGTGTTGCGCTGAAGGTTGCCGTCGCTCATGCATGCATATACGAATAGACGTAGCAGGCAGCATCCATACGCCTGCCCATACCCCGCACACGTGCACACACCTGATCATGCATGCATATACGAATAGACGTAGCAGGCAGCATCCATACGCCTGCCCATACCCCGCACACGTGCACACGCCTGATCATGCATGCATATACGAATAGACGTAGCATGCAGCATCCATATGCCTGCTCATACCCCACACACGTGCACGCACCTTATCAGCGTGAACAGCCATGCCGAAATCACCAATCTTCAACGAGCCGGTTTCCGTCATGAATATATTGGCTGGCTTTAGGTCGAGGTGGATGAGGTCGAGCTCGTGTACGTGACACAGACCTGAGGCTATGTCAGTGACAAAGTCCCACACCGTGTTCTCCAGTAAGTGAGGGGTGTGTGATAGGTACCCCTGCAGGCTGCATGTGCGGGTAGCAAAGGAAGGGGGTCCTAGATATATGTTTACAGGTGTAGTCATATGTACTATACGTAAAATAATTGCACCAGTATATACTGCGAATTAATATAAAATCAGGCGCGTTAGACCGACAAGCGAAAAGACGATGAGTTGGAACACGTGGGCACTACACGTTTAACGCTACGTTTTACCGCTACGTGGCGAATGCATAACTGCCAAGAAACTCAGAGGTCAAACAAGGAGGTTCGACGAGAAGAATAGCACACAAGCTCAACTAGTCACAAAACAATCAAATCACAGTTTGTAATCAAAATGGAAATTTAGAGGAGATGAAGCATTCGAATGGAAGATGCTTGTGCATACTCGCATGAGCGACGGCTTCGGGTTTGATGAATCAGTAGACAACTGTATGGGGTACACACAAAACAACCCAACATATCACATCTATTGTATGTAGGTGTACATAGGGCAGTACATAGTTTGTAGACTATCTCGCACAGAACAAATCAACGTATCGATAGATCTCATACACATACACAGTTGTAGGTAGACACTTGGACGTGAGAATACACATACATGCACACCGCCATCGAAGTCGTTGCCATGACAACATCGGAGTGCACTTACGTTCCCATCGCGCAGAGTTCTGTCTGCAGGTAAAGCATGTCATTCTCAACCCAAGAGTCATAGTAGCGGATACAGTGCGGGTGGTCCCCTAGACTGCGCAAGTGGTGAGCTTCGGCTATTTGCCTATTCCTGTAATGTATATGCATAATATGTATATGTGTAGATAAATTGCTGGACATAATATGCCATAGTTATCTGTCTACGACCACATATATTTGTTACGATACAATATTTAGGGTTCCTGATATCATCGGACATTCTACAGCAGTACATCCTGACCCATATGCCTTTGAGTACTTATGTACTTGGTACCGAAAAGCGCACAACAAACAGTCTGACTCGATGCAGTGGTATGATACATCATCTGTACACACACCACACGGCAGCCCTCAAAACTCTAGGCCGGCATAATACTCGTCTCATCCAACAAAAAATAAAAGTGAAGTAGCGATAAAGGCGTTAAAAGCACAACACTTACATACCGATCGTAGGTCCCTTTGAAGTATCTACTCGACCGCTTCAGCGCGTACAGCCGCCCATCCTTCTTCCAGCGCACCTTGTGAACAAGGCCAAACGATCCCTCGCCCAACTGAATGTGTGCGCATGGAGATGAAGCAAAAGTCATGAAGCAGCCTTGGATGGGGCATAGTTTGCGAATGATTATAGTATTCTTTTTCGGAAAGCGTGGGTTACAATGATAGACCAAATAGACGACCTTTGGAGTACGTGACAATGACTCATAGGCCCTCAATAGAATCCACACTTAGTCGGCGTGGCGAGAGTGTACATATTAGTGCCGAAGGGACCCGAATGGCACACATGCCAGTGATGTGTTTGCTTTGTCGACTTGAGATGTGTTATCGTACACAAACATGCGCATATCCGGCGTTTAGTTGAAAAAAACGAACTATGAACAGTAGATAAACGCATACACTATTTGCATCGTGTTGGGAGTGTATCAAACAAGATAATACATAGCAGCGTTACTTTGCAATATCGCATTGTCCAAGAATGTCACTTTCGCATGCAGGGTGTACAACACAACGCTTCAGGGTTTTATGGTTTAAAACCCGTGTATATCGAGACGTTCGACGATAATAACTACCAGTGCTAGGTATACTTGCCAAGCCAATCCACCACACAATATAATCGACAAACCTTTTGCAGAAACTCGAATGACTGTTCCGCATATGTTCCATGCTCCCCGTGCTCATGCAAGTGATAGGGTTTCCTCAGCGCTGTTGTTGTCAAGACAGAGAAGTTTAAAAGCAGAAAGGGCGATCAAATCAGAAGGACAATATAACCGATACGGTTTTAGGGAAGCCAGAAAATAGAAAGTGAGTGAGAATGATTCAGCAGGACGCGTATGCTCTGAGAGATGAACGCAGCCTTTGTACGTTATACCGTCGGGTTGGTCTTGTGACTGATTGTACTGTTATATGACACCACGACATTCACTGCTCCATATCTGAAGCGGCAGTCTGTGCCCGGTATGGGTCGATCGGCAGCGTAGCCGGAACACACTACATACACACTCGAGAGGTTCAAATACTCAAGCCTACTACCACAACCACATATATGGTTGGATTTTATCTCCAACAACTGCTATGGCGCATCCAAACAAGCTAGACTGTAGGCTTTTACCTAAACCCTAAAACTTACAGTCGTGGCAGGTCTGAGTTTCCACCGCTTGGCCGCCGGGTGTGCATTGGGCTGCTGGCGCTCTCGTTACACTCCTATGCGGAGTGGGATGAAACACAATGTAACATATTACAGACCGAATAAACTCCTTGTGGTGCACGCTGTAGGATGTATATAGTGTATGTGAACTTCTATCGTAATCGCACTCTGCAGGTGAGCAATACATGCACATTACAATTGGATAAAAACGTGTACGTTACTATTGGATAAAAACGCTATTGGGTCATACCTTGCTCACTTTCGAGTAACAATTAAGCGAAGTGAATATATGGCGAAGGAGTGTGTGCGGCGACTCGCACATTTCGTATTGTGGGGCCATTGCTCGTTAAATTATTTTTTTCTCCCAAGGCTGATACATATAGTTACTTATGACCTCATTGAGACAAGTAGTGTGACTCGTCTGTAGTTGAAACGCCACTTCTAATCTATAAGCCGCTGTGGTCTGGAATCATGTAGATACGCTTGCAATCTTTCCCATGATAGGCAATGAATTTTTACATCAATACAACCTGAACACAAGTTCACATGTAATACCACAAAATACTACAACGATATCAGCTGCTATGAAACACAAGCCTATATTGAACCGCTATAAACCAACACATACGTACTCTCAACTGAGAAAATAAAGACAACATAAACTTACATATACGTGGTGTCAATTGTTAAACTAAAAAAATGTATAAACCAACACATACGTACTACTCTCAACTGAGAAAATAAATACAACAAATATAAATTAACACATACGTAGTGTCAATTGTTAAACTAATAAAAAGTATAAGCCTACACATACGTACTGTCAACAGTTAGACGTATAAAAAGTATAAACCAACACATACGTACTGTCAGCCGACAAATGAAATACAACAACTATAAACGAACACATACGTACTGTCAACTGACAAACTGATAATAACTATAAATTGACACATACGTATCGTCAAAAGACATACAAAAACTATAAACCAACACATACGTACTGTCAACTGGCAAACTATACACCACAACTATGAACCCACACAAACGTACTGTTAACTGTCAAGCTAAATACAAAAACTATGAACCAATACATATTTCCTGTTAAATGCCAAACTACAGCAACTAAATACCAACACGTACGTACTGTCAACTGATAAACTAACTACAGCGACTAGAAGCCAACACAAACGTACTGTCAACTCTCAGACTAATGATAAAAGCTATAAGCAAAAATATACGTACTGTCAACTGTCTAGCTAAATACAACAACTATAAACCAACACAAACGTACTTTTAAATGTCAAGCTACAACAATAATACTAGCACATACGTCCTGTAAACTGCCAAACTAGCTACAAAGTCAACTAACACAAACGTACTGTCAACTGTATGACCAAATACAACAGCTATAAGCCCAACACATACGTACTGTCAATTGTCAAACTAAAGACCACAACTACAAACCACCACATACGTACGTACGGTTAAATGTCAAACTAATTAAAACAAAGATAAACCAACACATACGTGCTGTCAATAGTCTAGCCAATTACCTGTAGTCAACCGTGTTTGTCAGTCCATTCAGCGCCGTGGGCATACCGTCTATCATAAACGATGCATTTGGAGCACTGCGCGTTTTCTTGTGTGAAATCCCTTCGACACCAAAGATGGGTCTGGGCTTCAACAGCACAGACATCTCCCGATTCGCACGTGCAACAGGGGGTGGTAGATGACCGGCGGCAGTATTAGTTTTTTCATCAGGGCCAGTGTTTAATCCGTGCATAGTGAGAATTATACATATACTTGCTCTTTGATGTGTATTGAATGATATCCTTACCGTCTGTAATATATGATGCCAGGAAATGCTACTTTCAGCTGTCAAAATCACATTGGGAGCTACCTTACTTGGGAGATGCAATGCTTGCAGGATGACTGTGTATGCGTCATATCACACGTATGAGTATATACTATGCACACAAGAACAGTAATGAGCCTTTCAGATAACTGTGAGTATGTATCATATCACACGTATGATTATATGATCTACACGTAAGCACAACAACAAGCGTATCGGGTGCATACCTCATTTATTATGTAAAAAGTGTAAACAGTAAAAATTAAAAGCCACAAATTTGACCCGCGCTTTTCTGAGCCTGGCCGTTTCGCAATCCCATTGGTAGTCTGAGTTCTGTCTTGGGCTGTGAACTGTGAACTTCAGTGGAGTGTGATACTCTCTGAGAATCAGGAACAGTCTCAG